TCATCATCATCATCATCATCATCATCATCATCATCATCATTATCATCATCATCATCATCCACCATAATCATCATCATCCATCATAATCATCATCATCATCATCCATCATAATCATCACCATCATCCTTATCCTCATCGTCAGTAACAACTAGTACACATACATCTTAGCTTTCTCGACTTTACTACATCAACTTCGCGTTTCTCCCTTTTGCCATCCTCAGCTTCCTATCATTAATCCTCCCTTTTTGTCTTTTCATCAAATTCGCTTATTGAACTTCTTTTAACGACCTCTTCACAGATTTCCTTTGTTAAACTTCGATCGACTACAACCGCTTCAGCTACATCTGCAGTCTCCTCGAATTTTTTAGGAAAAGCATAGTTGGACCAGCAAACCAGTTTGCGTCGTCCGTGCCTCTGCCGGTGCTTTCTTTTTATCTCTTTGTGTCTCACACTGTAAAAAGGAACAATTTCCATAATTAGGTCGAATGGAATGGACTGATTATTTTTTCATAGAATTGGCCTTACGGATTTTGGCTTTCTGAAAAGGGAAAAGTAGAGGCTTTTTCCGATGCACCATTTATCCCTGATCAGTGCTTTTTCAGATGCACCATTTATCCGTGGTCAGTTCTTTAGAAACTCTCGGGAAAAGGTATTGTAACATCATTGTGCGGCTGCTGAAACGGTAATATTCAAAAGGAAGGAATCCCAATCATCTAGTTCCTGCCGAAGGAAGAATTCAGAATCATTCACTTCCATCCCGAAGGAAGGAATCCCAATTATTTACCTCTCTATAGTATTTTCAATAATGAGCAATGGCTCATCACATTATTATGCTTCATTGAAATTATTAGTTGGTTATTATAATTTCTAATTCCATTAAAATTAAATTCCCTTTGTTATTCATAAGACGTATTGTGCATGTTCGAATAGAGATGATTATTACAGCAACGATTACTTATGCTAATGAATTTAAATAAATTTATCGGAGTGATTACTTTGTATTCCTCTGCAAAAGCAATGTTCAGTAATTAAAATTTAACAATTTCAACATTCTTATTAACTCTCTTTTATCACTTCATTTGATGCATTAATAAATGGCATTAGAATTCATTAATCTTTAGCGGCTTTATATACATCACATACAATTCAAACTGATCTCGTAAATTGATGCTATTGATCTTTGTCATTAAATATTCTGTCGTATCGAGCGGTCATACCATAGGTTCGGAATACTGTAACTACTTTCGACCGTTAGTACTCTGAAAGTTGATTAGAGTTATTCTTCTAAAAATGATGATGATTGCGACATTAGTTCTGGCTAGGACTGTGCAATTTGCTTCCCTGCGAAAATTTGGCTCATTCCTTCCGACAACTTTCTACACATTTGGCGACCTGAAATCAACCTCATCTTCCTGTTCTCTATACATCATACCTCACAAATGAAATGATGTGCATTCTCCTAATGCTTTCCTTTTTAGATAGAGGAAGTTTGATATGTGAATATTCCGAGAGGCTTTTCTTCACATCTTTCATCCTTTTAAATGCAGGAAAGGAGTGTTAGACAGATTGCCAAATTGACGATCGTGACTAAAAATGTTACTTGCTAAGCTGTCTTGTTGATGGAATAACATCGATTCATTATCGTTATGTGATAGATGTTCTTGTAGTGGTATTATGATATTAGTAAATTGAATTTTGGATTTCGATTTGAGGGGAGGAGAGAGCCGACCACATATAACTTCCTTTCAGTGATTTCATTTTGGTCACCGAGTTCCAAGCATTAAAAGATGCAAAGTCGTCACGTCACTCTTGGAATTGAAAAAAAAACTTCAATTTAAAACAACTTTTGAAGTAGTATGTTTCGGAATTAATTAGCTTAGAAGGAGATGATATCTAAACGGCAGTTTTCTTTCAAGATCTTCGTCTAAGGCGCATTAGTTATGAGAGGACCTTTTCAAGCTATAGGGATGGAAAACATGTACGTATGCTTTGCTGTTTATCTCACGGAAGTAAAATGTTCAATAATATCAC